GTCAACAATCAAATCCAGCTAACTTACTTAGCGAGGTACGAAGAACGGGCCCCAGAAGAGGATCTTTCTGTCTCTGCAGAGTCATTGTGATTCAGTAATAGGAATGATTTAATGATCACGCTTACTCTGTTTGCACAGAGCAGATAATGTATAATGAGAATGGGATCGTTTGTGTTTGGAGTATGAACTGAGATTCTTGAAGCTCTTGTCACACTGGTCACAGCTGAAGTTCCCTTCAACATGTGTACGTTCATGAAGGTTACGACTGCTCGATTGTGAGAACCTTTTGTTACAGTGTCTACACTTGTATGGTTTCTCTCCTGTGTGGACTCGTTTATGTCTTTTAAGCTGGTAAGCACTGGTTACAGGCGTGCTTTTAAACCCCACCGTGGAACAGTTCATGTTGTTTAAAATCAGATTGAGTGGGGAAGCCTCTTCCACATTCTTTACAGTAGATAATTTTGTCTTGTGTGTGTCTAAGCTGATGCTTTTTTAGGCTTCGTTGCTGGTTGAAAGTTTTTCCACAAAGGTCACAACGAAACGCTTTCCCACCACCACACTGACAATAGGGTTGAAAACTGGATCCATCTGTGTCACTCTGCTTCTAAACAAAGACACAAAGACAGTGTGAGTCAGTCCTTCAACATTTTAATCCTGAATGCCACCTGAAATAAAGAGCATCTCTGACAACATCCAATTATATCTTACTGTTTACATTATAACAGCTTAATGGGCTACAATAAATGTCTGTGATGCAGAGGAACAGCAAGAAGCACTGCTACCCTGGCTGCAAACAAACTCTCACCATACTTATACATACATAGGACATTTAAATAAAACTTGGAGACTATTAAAAGTCAGCTGATTCTGAGGGGGTCAGGTGGGATACACTGATTGGTTTTAGTTAGATGACCCTCCTGTTGTTAAGTTAGTGAATACAAGTAAAATTGACTGGTTCATATAGAGCACTTTTCTACTAATGGAATAATTATAATAGTCAAAATCAAACTGAATCAGAATTTAAAGGAGTTGTAAAATCATACCCAGTCTGTGAAGGTTCTCAGGCGTACATTATCGTAGTCTAAGGAGCTTGTAAAGAAAAGCATCTGGAGTTTTTAAAGTTTCTCAAAGATGTTTCACCTCCCATCCGAGAAGATCAATTAGCGCCATTTACAAGAGCCATATTCCATTCGATCCAGTTACTGCAGAGTGACTGGAATTAAGGTGACTTTCCACCAGTTGCTCTTAGGACTAATTTAAATAATGCTTCAAAACAATTGCAACTGTAAATCCTCAAATATGGATACAAAGTAACAGTAATAATTGCTGTTAGTTAGATGACTCATCATGTTCTTTACTGACATTTTCCAAATTCCAGTAGATGCCATTGAGTCCAGTAGAATTACTAACATGCTAACACAATTTAATGAGCCAAACAGTGACACTGAAATTAGAAGATAATAATATAAATACATACCTCACAGTAACTGCACTTGTAGAGTTTCTTTCTGGTGTGGATCTGTTGGTGTATTTTCAGGTAACGTGGAGATTTAAAAGTCTTCTCACACATGTCACATTTATAAGGTCTCTCCTCAGTGTGGGTAAGCATGTGGCTTTGTAACTGTGCATCTGTTGTAAACGGTTTCCAACACTGATCACAGCAGTAAACATCCTGTCCAGTGTGAATGCGGATGTGTCTATTTAGGTCCCCATTGCGACTGAAAGTTTTTCCACAAATGTCACATCTGTACTTATTAATTCCAGAGTGGGTAACTAGATGATTCTGTAAGTGGCTACTGTGAGTAAAAGCTCTGCCACACTGATCGCAGCTGTGTGCTTTCACTCCACTGTGGATGAGTTGGTGTGCTTTTAAGTGTCGAGCCTGGGTAAAAGATTTCCCACACAAGTCACAGGTGTATGCTTTAACTCCACTGTGGATAAGTTGGTGTGTTTTTAAGCTTTGAGCCTGGGTAAAAGCATTTCCACACAAGTCACAGGTGTACGGTTTAACTACACTGTGGATGAGTTGGTGTCTTTTCAAGCTTCCAGGATGGGTAAAAAAATCTCCACACAAGTCACAGTTGTACTGTTTAACTCCACTGTGGATGAGTTGGTGTCTTTTTAAGTGTACAGCCTGGGTAAAAGATTTTCCACACAACTCACAGCTGTAAGGTTTAACTCCACTGTGGATGACTTTGTGTTTTTTTAAGTTTCCAGCCCGAGTAAAATCCTTCCCACAATCATCACAGGTGTGTGTTTTCTCTCCCTTTCTTCTGTGAGGTTTGTCGGCCTCCTGAGAGCGCTGACTTCTCGCTCCATGTTGGTCCTGCAGTGACAGAGAAACAAACAGAGGCAGTGAATGAAATGCAGTCGTGGAACAAACTGAACTCCATTAGTGGAATCAAAGATGTCAACAAACACGTCGTAGGTGTGTTACCGCCACCTTCTGCTTATATTATCACATTACAATGATGTGCTACAATGAGAGTTGTAACGTCCACAGTGATATTTTTGCTCACCTTTTGGGTTGAAGTCATTGTTTCCTCTGTAGTGGCTGAGCTGAGTCTAAATGGCTCGTCTCCTCCTGATGATCAGCTGGAACAAAAAATATATTTATATGTATTTCATCCTTGACCAAAAGAAGCTGAGATGGAAAGCTCAAATCCACTCAAACTAAATGTCTTCAGTCAGTGTGTCAGCCTCCAGTTAACAACAGTGGTGAGAAACTGCAGTAATGAACCTCCACTGAGTAACTGCAGTTTGGTGCTTCATTTGAACCTCATAGATTTTATTAAACAAAATGGATTAAAAAACACACAGTACAAAGAAGGTGAGCTGATAGTAAGAGTATCATCATCTCAAACTACATCAAGATTCTCAGACCATGTCATGGTTCACTTGATCCCTGCAAACAGGCACAAACTGAAACTCTCTAAAGCTTTTGTAAAGACACTGAAGCAGTGGACTGATGAGGCTGTGGAGAATCTGCAGGTGTGTCTGGACTGCACCGACTGGCAGGTTTTCAGGATTGTTACCAACAGTTTGGATTATTATAGAGATGCTGTGACGTCCTGTGACATCAGCTTCTGTGAGGAAGCTGCACAGCATCACACACCAGGGTGAGTTAGAATACTGACGAGCTCTGGTTCACAGCTAAGCTAAAGGGGAGACAGTTTCTTTTTTTCCCCACTTTGGCTCTCGGAGGAGACGGACACCTCTTTCACGCTCTCCTCCCGGTTATCTTCCCTGCTCGCTTGCTTCTATGTCGTTGTCTGGTCTTGTCTGAGTCAAACCCTGAGAGAGTGTCTCATTCTCACTCTTGTTCTCTAAAACCTAAAGAAGAACTATGAATTTGATCAACTGGTCCCTTAACGCAATTGGCACTCTATTCTCAACGAGAAGCCTGGGTTCGGGAGAGCCCGAGTGTCCTGAAGGGACGTTCCCTGCTGGATACACGATGGACGGGTGGCAGAAGTGGCACGTTGTGTGCCTAGCGGGACTGTCTATCGAGGATATTGGAGACATCTACCTATTTGGAACCATGATAACAGGATTCTTGCTGATCGGAGATGGCATGGCCCTGGCTTATCGGAAATTGAAGAAAGTGGTGACTGCTGTTCAAACCGGCACAAGGCTAGCCGCTATGATCGAAAGTGTGGGAAGAGCTGTGAGTGCTGGGACTGTTCTTACTGAACAAAATATGGGGAAAGATCTTGGAGGAGCTCACAGCTCTTAAACGTGGAGACCAGGGATGGACATTAAGAACAACTGTAAAATTGATGCAGTCTGTTCGTCCGAAAACAACATAACCATGATTTCTCATGCGGCTACCCCCCACCCTGAAGGCGCCAGCTGGACGCTTGAAGGCTGAGGCGAACAACAACAATTCTTCCCTCAGATATGATAACGAGAACGAGCTGACTCTCTTGCCTGATTCTTCATTGCCACCTCAGTAGGCTGCGGACTGTTGATCTTTGCCTAATAGGCGGAAGGCCACTTTCTCAGGCTGAACACAGGACACGCATCCCGAAACGCACACACACATGTACACTGATACGCCCTCACCACCACCCTCCCTTACTCGAATCCAACGCCTCCCCATGCTTACCTCCCATGTGGACAGCGGCTCAACCGGAGTCGGGATCGCAAGATTGCAGATGCAGCTGTGCACACGGCATACTCCCCCATGTTGCTTGTCTGTGTTTTATGGTGTTATGGTATGATAATATCGGTGCTTACTTTATCTGCTATGGAGTTCTAGTTTTCTTCTCATGCTGACTCCCTTTTGGAAACCAGCAATTTCAGTTGCAGGCAACTGCAACCGACAAATAAAGGCATTCATTCATTCCTTGTTCAGGTTTAGTGAGGCTAAACTCCAAAAACTGTTTTCAGCTAATGACTCTGATTCTGTCTGGAAAACACTCAGACAGTGAACCAAGCACAAACCTAAAGACCCCACTCTACCAACATTTCACACCTAGTCATCAGCCTGAACAGCTCCTGCTGTGGATTCTACCAACAATGACCTGTTACTCCCCCACCCAAGACATTCAACACCTTCAGCAACCCCTGTGATTATAAAACACGGCCTGGACATGATCACCACTTCATTAAGTTGCTTGAAGACGTTTCACCTCTCGTCTGAGAAGCTTCTTCAGTTCTAGGTTCAAATGGTGGAGAGTCCCAGATTTTATGGTGTGTTCACACCGAATGCAGTAGACACGACCAAAACGCGCCAGACGCCCCTAGCTTGACGCACGCAAATTCGCACCTTGACGCGTGTCCAACGTGAATTATTGAAGTGGAAATGTGGGAGGAAGTTGTGCCAGACGGTATGTTTGCAAGATGGCAGCTGTCGAGCTAGCGTTTGAAGAGAGAGTCTCCCTTTTCTATTTACTGTGGAGAACAGAGCAGCGGCGTAAAGGACGTCCTCACCGTACCTGGGTTCATCAGGTCCTCCAGAGGCGTGAGCAGTTTGGTGAGTTTCACCATTTGCTCCAGGAGCTGCGCCTGGACGACGGGGCAGCTCCTGGAACTAACCTCTCTTTATTCTCTTAAATAATTGGTCATCACTATGTTGGTCATCACTATGTTGCTATATATTAGTATTAGTATTTTCATTAGTATAATATGAAATAAATTCTACATGTGTCAAGTTCTGTGCCAATATTTGCTGTGTAGCAGAACTGAGACATTAGTCATTACAAAAATTTATTTCAAATAATATTAAAATAAATAAATAAATAAATAAATATAAACAACATAACTATTTACAGAGAGACTGGAATAAAAAGGACCCAGCTTAATGTGGAAGACCCTCAGGGAGAAGGAGGAGAAAAATAAGAACATTGTCTCTGCCCTGGAGAGCTGCTGCCTCATCAGAAAACTACTGATTGCTCGGGTCACTTCAAATATAAATGAGGCTGTAGGCATCGTGGTGGGGGGGGCGGCATCACGGGCATCGGCAAAAGAAAAAAAAAATGCTCATACTCATGCTCCCCAGCCAGCGCATATTGGGAATGGCATACGCACCGATCGGTTTTCTATCGCCCATTTGCTGGGAGTAAGGGCACCCTTCGTTTGCGAGGTGCGCCTGCTGCTTGCGGCACAGAGAGGAGAGGGCGGGGCGGCAGCTGGAGCAGCATCTAATAACCAACTCGCAAAATAAAACAAAATAAAAACAAACCAACAAACACGAAAACACCAGACACCATGATACAGACTTATAATTTGCACCCATGTTTTTCCTCGGTGCTCCTGCTCGCTGCTGAAGTCAAAGTAAACTTTATTGTCATCTCCGCTACAGACAGTCCAGAGAGACGAGACGACGAGGCTCCAGTTACAACAATGCAAGTAAACAAACAATAAATATAAGAAGAGTAAGAAAATAAATATACACTTTAGGACCAGGGGTAAAGGGATCAATAACAAATTAAAATTTTTAATTTACAGTTTGATGATTTAAAGTCTCACACAACCCATCGAAAGGGGAGGGGGTCCTGCTGCTTTCAAGTAGAGCACATTTCATTCATAATGATGTAAATCCAAGTCCATTATGGATTCATGATTTGAATCCTGGGTTGTGTGAAAGCTCAGAAATGCACCCTAGACTAAGTGAACCTGTGAACTAAGGTGTAGGTCTGTTAGGTTATGTTGTGGTGATCCTCGGGTTGAGGGATGGGTGTTCATACTGCAGTGCAAAATTAAAACCAATGGAAGATGGACAAGAAAAGTTCAAAGCCATCAGGTGCTCAGTTTAGAAAAAATAGAAAAGAAGAGGAGGAGAAACGAGCAAAAGATACAGGTAAGCAGACGTGTCATTGGATAATGGCAGCTCATCCTGAACCAATCAGAGTCAGAATACTTTATTAATCCCTAAGGAAATTATGTGGGTTCCAGTTGCTCCAAGAAGAAATGGTAAAAATAGCAACAGTAACAGACTAAACTCCAAACAATATGTTATGTTACAGATTTTAATATTAATTAGTCAGTGTCAGTTGTTGATTTGTCCTGTTCTCATTGTATGACGAATTATGATGGCTGTTTGGTAGCCGTTTGCATACTATGCACACTCTCTCTCTCCATAGGGGGGGGGGGGGCAGAGGGAGTGTTCGCCCAGGGCGCCAAACAGGCTACGACCGCCACTGTTCAGGAGCTAAACTCAACATGAACTGAACTCACAGTAAAGTTAGCTCGGTGCTTACCTTTAGATGAGCCCACAAACCGAGAGAAACTCCGCGATGAAGCTGCAACTCTTTCCAAACACAGGAAACAGATCAGGGAGCAGAGACCCACGTGGTTCACGCTGATCTCAGCTACGATCCAGGAGACAAGGATGGGCAGATCGATGCAGATATCGATCAGGACGTTGGTAGTGGTTTATGATCGATACTTTAGTTTGTTTCTCTCCTCTAAGTTCACTACTTTACTCCCGTTTCATGAAAAAGCAGCTCTCTCTGCTCGACTGCTCTCCTGCACACATTTGCTCCGCCCCACTCTTCCGACTCTGCTGTGGTTTGTTACTGTGCGGTCACGTGACTCCGCTGCGCAGCGTAACCACGTGGTGTTTTGTTTTCCTTTGCCTCGATGAAAACGTCATCGTGGGAAGGAGAATTGCTAAGGACTCAGGAAAAGAGAAGAGCGGTGCTGAGAATTGGAACAGCCTGACGCTCGTCTCTCTTTAACAATGTTACACCAGGGTGGGGTTCTTATGGAGGACTGCAAGAATCACACACTTAGAAATAAAGAATTCTCATTTAAATAATGATTTGTGCAATAAAATATGAATTTCTAAATTACTTCACAAAGAAAAGCTTGAAATTAGAACCAGCATTGAGCCCTGTTACATTAATACACCGTGTTAGAGCAGTGGCTGCAACCTACAGCCTTTAAACTCATGATTAAAATGCTGACAATAAACTCATCAGTCCAGATTTCACCAACTTATTTTCTGATATATTGTGTTAAAAGAACTGAGATAGGGTCATTAAAATAAAAGCTGTCAGTTCTCTCATTCCTCATTGTACTTCCCTCATTTATTTTAAATACAAGATTTCTGACATCTCTTAATGTCGCTCAGATTTCTGAATATAAAGAGCGAATGCACTTACAGCAGGAACTTCACATCTAGCCATCAAAAGTTTGGTAAAGTTGCATGAGTACTGTAAAGTTTTCTGGGGTCCTGTTAAAAATAGCACAAGCGTCACACCACATCTATAAACTATATATTCCAGTTATCCACTTATCAGTAATTTCTGAATCACAACAAGGACACAAAGCTCACTGCTTATCACAGACGTTACATCCTCTGTCAAGCAATTTCAGAGAGAAAGAGCAACAACGACTCATTAAGATCAGCCAGAAATCTGCCCCTCTCTGGCAGCTGTGGCAACTCACAATAAGAAAGCTTGCATTCTTTGAACAATGCTGGGTCATGTATGATTTGTCTGAGACCATGTGTCATGAAAATGTCATGAAATTAAGATATTACATTTTGGATTTTCTGCACCTTCACTCTCAGTGAAGTGTTTTAAACTTTGATGAAATATGGCAACTTTGTGTTGTGCTGCAAGATAAACCCGTTGTCCTCATGACCACAACTTTTTAAAAACACTCTCTGTTCAAAGGTAATTTTAGTTTTTATACTTATAGGGTCCAACTAACAGGAGAAAAAAAGTGCAAACAACAAACCAGTTTATAATTGGTTAATGATGTATACTTTATTTATCCCTAATTTACGAATAAATTCTTTACAAATCCTACCATGTGGATTCATGGATTTTTTTTCACATTCTGTCTCTCACAGTTGAAGTGTACCTCTGGTGCAAATTACTGACCTCTGTCATCATTTTAGGTGGGGGAACTTGCACAATCGGTGGCTGACTAAATACTTTTTTGCCCCACTGTAAACATCTAATGTTCTTAACACTTTAATGTTAGCATTTGATGACCACTAAAGCATGTCATGTTTTATAACATTTTCTTCTTAATCATTGGATCTGTATTTTATAGGTCACCTTCAATATCCCAAACATCTGATGTGCAAGTATATAATACTCTTTTGTATAACAATGTTGCATATTTAATTGTTCAGTTTCATTTGCATGCCATTACATTTGCAGTTGATATGGTATTGTGTTGTGTTTGTGTTTATGCTGAAGGTTCAGTGTGGTACAGAATCTCAAATGGCATCCACATCAGGAGAACATACTACAAGTTAGTCTTAAGTTATAAAATTACATGATTTCCCCCTAGAGATCAATGAAGTATTCTGATTGTGATTCTAAAATTTAAAAAATATAAAATGATATACTTGAAAATAATTCTAAAGTAAAAAGCTCAGTGAAACCGTTTTGTTTATTTTTGTTTTTGGTAAATTATTGAGGCTCTCTATCTAATCCATAACTTGAGCAATTTCAGCCACGGTGAAGTACTTCAGACCCAACCCAGCCAAATGTAGAGCCAGAATTACTACTGCATAAAATGTATTTTAATCTTCTGTTTATACTCTTCTTTCACAGTATGTATAACAATATCTATGCACCTGTCGTTATTGACAGCAGTTCTTCAGATGCAATACAACAAACCCATAGTGTGTGACTTGCAGTTAACTTATTTATCAAATATTTGTTTACTAAAAATAGTTCTGGGTACTGCTGCTATTTTTGATCCTAACCTTTTACAGGAGCAAACATAGCTGAACTGTTCCTGTGAAGTTATTCTGCTGATGTTTGTATTCAGAAAAAAAAAAGATTCTTAAAATTATTTGGTTGCTGATGATTGTTCTTCAGATCACTATTTTGCTTTTGAAAATGAATTAACAGAAAAAGGCCAGTTGATAAAGCAAGAAAAAATAACTTACAAGATATTAAACAAAAAAATTACATAAAGTGTAAATAGTGTAAATATTTAGTTGCTTTTCACTGACTGATTCTACAGTGATGAACCTGATGGACTGACGGCTGCAGATGTCATCTCAAATCTGGCTCTGAAGATCAACAAAACCTCCCGTAGGAGATTCAACATTAACATGGATGGTGCCTACCGAGGCTTCAGGAGGTCTTCATAAAGTCCCAACTTTGGCATGATTGTGAAATTCTCTGATGACGTGGGGCTGGCTGAAGAGGCAATAGACACAGGTGGGCCTACTCAAGAATATCTCACCCTTTTGATGGAAGCCGTAAGGACGAGAAGAATATTCGAAGGAAAAGACTATGCCAAATATCTCACATTTCATAGTAAAGGTGTTTATTTTTTTCACATTTTTTGCCATGGTCAAAATGACTTTATTATAATGTAATGTCTTCATCTTTAGCTGCAGGTGAAAATGAATATTTCTACATTGGAAGAATGATTGCAGTTTCCATTGTCCATGGTGGTCCAGGGCCATGTTGTTTATCTCCAAACTACTTTATGTACCTTGTTGGAAAAGACAAGACATTTGAGGCTCCAATAGATGATGAAGAAATCAAGAAGGCTCTACTAGAGGTAAATATGTGATGTTATGATTATGACAACCGCCAATAAATGCAAAAATCTACATTTAATATTAGTTATTTACTTAACATAATCTTGGTAACTAACTGATGTCTGAAATGATTGCTGATTGTGTAATTCAAGACTGTGTTAAATTGCACATTAACAGACAGCATGCCAAGGATGTCACTTGACATGCAAATTGTGTATGGGCAGAAATCTGTGCCATCAGAAACTGAATTTGAATAAGTTAAATTTCAATTTGAATTGCTCGGATTGAATCTGAATTGTAACTTGAATAAATGCTTTTAAACACTGAATATGAATTAGCCTTATTTAAAATTCAATTTACTGGTTTGAAAATGATCATCACTTGTGTACACTCAAAACTTCTCTTTCTGACCAGTAGTGTTTTACTCGCTGCAGCTGGTTCCTGTCCAGCCAGCCCTCTGCACAGAACTTCATGACTTGGGAACAGACGCTGTCAGACTGTAGCTGCTCACGGAGATCTGCAAGGCATTTGCTGCTAGTAGGAAAGCCCTCCAGCACTGTGTCAACGTAAATATCAGTGTCCTCCATAAGATCATTGTCTCTGGGCATCACACTGTCTATCAGCGGTAACCGTGAGGACGTGTCAGCTGTGGTGAGGCTTTTGCCTGGAATGTGCCTTATAGTGTAAGAGTACCTCATTAGGCGCATGCTGAATCTCTGTATCCGCGGTGGAAGCAAATCCAAGGCTTGGTCACTTCCGTCACCATCTGTTTTGGAAATGCTCTGGTGCACTGGAAATACCAAATGGCGTAATAAATGTGGTGAGGAGAGCAGATTCTTTGGAGCGAGGGCCTCGGTAAAGCTGGAACTTCTTCTTTCTTCTTTTTCTTTTATTGGCAGTTGGCAGACAACTGAATGGTGCATTACAGCCACCAACTGTTATGGAGTGTGGACTGAAACATTCATGTCTGTTTCTTTTAACAGGGATTTCGGGGTTTAGTGAAAATTTGTGGGATGAAGCAAGACCCAGAAATTTTTTTTTAAAGGAATCAAGGCAAGGAATCAAAAATCAAGGACATGGTAAATGGATTGGTAGTTATAGAACAACTTTCTACTCAAACAACAACAGCTGCAACTTTCATTCATTCAGTCCCACACACACTCATACAGCACTTGTATTTATGGTCAGTTGCTTTCTAACATTCCCACTCACACAGATGGATCCATCAGGGGTTCAGTGTCGTGCCAAAGGATCCTTCAGCACGAAGACAGGAGGAGTCTGGGATCAATTCACCGACCTTCCAATTGGTAAACAACCCACTCTACCACCTGAGAGTGTAAAGTAAACAGACTATGTGACAAAGGGAGACTGCACAGATGGCTAGCTAGGACTGAGTGAAGACACTTTGGAAATTAGACGAGACCTGGGAATGCAAAACTACAATGAGCTGCTGACATGTGATTATGTGAAAAACTATTTGTGTTCTTGAGCAGCTGAACAGGTGTACCTAATGAAATGACCAGTGAGTGTATATTAAATTGCAATATATAATTAGAACATTGTGGCTAAATGCCTTGATGCTCTCATCAGCTGGTGGTAGTTATCTGTAGTAGAGCTGAGAAGGAAACCAGAGGAGGAAGCAGAAAGATGCCAGAATATAGAGAAAACGCTCAGTGAGGATTAAAGCTGAGCTTCAGCTGTTTATTCAAGATCACTATATCAGCTTTCTCTTTCAGCTTTCAGCTGCTGCTGATGGGAGAACAGCTAAAAGATGCAGCTGAAGGTAAATGAAGTAATAATAGTAATAATAGTAATAATAGTAATGGTAACAAAGGCGTTACTGAGAAATAAAAACGCACAGGCCCGTGTTGCTATAGCGGAGCTTCTGAGACCTTATCACTGCTCTCTTATCCGCAAACCAGGGTCTCCTCTGACCCTCCCTCTGGTTTTAAAACCAGAGGCGATCATGTTTTTGAAGTCCTCAGGTCAGCTGTTTTAAGTGACAACTGAAAACTCGGTTTT